GAAGTTATGCCGTTTTAATCCCCTTTAACACGTTGACGACATCGCGCGTTTTGGCATTTTTGGCCCGCGTGGGACCAGAGCGGTTCTGCGAGCGCCGCCGCTCACAACAAATCTGTGGATTTTGAGCTTTAAATACGCAATACTTCGATGCGACAAAATGTTTTCACTGATATTCGGTGTGTCAAACTTATTGGAAGGTACACATGTGAAAGTGCGGTCGAATGATGTGTTACAGCATTGAAAAGGCAAGTTTCACTTACTTTTGCTTTAGTGATTTCAAAATTATTTTGGACGTGGTTGTTTCGGTAAAAACACATATCTTGCCACACGAGTAGCTTTGTACTCACTTCTAATATTCTTTTTTATCTACATGTTCGTGTTAATGAAGAGAAAATGAGGAATGAACTGAACGGATATTTTCGTCCGGTCCGAAAAACCTCTGCCAAACTAAAGAATATTTGGTCATTCTATAAGCCGCGTGGTTCTTGGTTATGTTGTGGTATGGCCTAAAAAATGAACACAAAAAACCTGGGAAGAAATGGCGCGTTCAAGAAAAAACTGAATGTAAAGGGTGTGGCAACTATAGTTGCCACAATGTCCATTGCGGCGTGCAAAACGCGGCAAACCTAGTTGCCGCGCTGTCGTCAAGGTGTTAAATCTCGCAAGAGAGCAGCACTTATGGGTAGAGCTGTGAGGTTGTGCCGTCGGATAGCTCTTTCAGGATATGCCAGAAATTCAACTTCGTCCTACATCACAAAGACCAAAGACACTGCGACCTTCCCCATATAGCTCCAATAGCTATTATTCAGAGTCTTCCAGTGCATTTAATCCACATTATTCAGCGAAGAATACTACACAGTTCCTATCTACACCTCGCAATTCGAAAGACGTCAGATGAAAAAGTTACAACCTTTCGAGCATTGCAAAATCAATCTAAATTTAACCTCCGTCTCGATATCCCACGCCACGAAGGTATCTGTCAAAGTGAGACATGTTTGAAAAAGGCCTAATACAGTTCAGGAACCAGGAACTATTGCATCCGAAATCTGCTAATCGTTTCTCTCGATACTTCCTGAAGGAAGTATTCGAGAAAACGCTTAGCATATAGTCCTCAGACGAAAATGTACACCTTGCGATTTCCGAATTGTCGAGCTCACTACTCGGAAGTGAGCAGGTTCAAATGGCTTTTAAAAGGCATGCCCAGGATCGTACTGTGCACGAATATGAAGGGTGAACTGACATGGGATTGTCCGAAAGGGTAAAGATTACCAACACATATAAAGTGGGATTTCGATCAAAACGACGAATAGTGGTCACGAATAAAAGACTATTTATTCAGTTCCCCTGTAAAGAAATTTGAAAGCATTTCAAACTCGATTACGAGATTTACCCATCTATCTTTAAATCCTAGCGCCTGCAAGTGATTATCAGCTGGCAGCCCATACGGGCTGCCATCGTCTCAGGAGCATATGCTGTTGGCAGCCCATATGGGCTGGCATCGGCGTGAATGTGTTAAATGACCGAGTTCAAGTAGTCCGTTGACCGGAGGAAAGTAGGCGAGAGAACTCAACCATGTGGGGAGGGGTTCCAAAGCAACAGTCTTGCGTGGGAGTATTGACGTGTTATAGCTATGTTTGCAAGGCCCTAGCCCCCTTACGGATGATCGATATGCACAGGAGGGCACCATGTGAGATTAGCCTCTAAGGGTATCTACAGACTGGAGCTAGCAGGTCCGTTGCTGTACCTTTTAGTGGTCGAAATATCAGCCAAAAATGCAGGTGTTAAGGAGAGAGTTTTGATCACATAGATACTTGTCAAGAGGCTTCGGGAATAAGTTATATAACCTTTTCTCTAATTGCAAAGTTCGCGGCCATTGCTCCTCCTCCCCTCAAGGTGAATTGTGGCAATATTAGTAGAATAAAAAAAACAAAAAAGACCAGACATGGTGACAAATAAGTGCAAGCGTAGGATGAGTTAGAATAAGAATCAAAGCAAGGCTTTGCGGCCGGAGGAATGCGTGTATTTCGTCATGGGACGCCCCTTTGTTTGCTTCATTAATATTAAACAGTTTTGTACTGCCATCACGAAAGACATTTTTGGATCATGAAATTGGATTCACGTCATTTTTATATACTTACATTATTTATTTTATATACTATATGCCCTCATACTTCTTGTGTAATATATAATGTATGTACGAAAAACAAATGAGATGTTTTGATGCCATTTTGGCGGTCAGGGAATTCTGCAGTACAGACTCCACAACATAAGTGACGAGCAAGTAAATCTGATCACTAGTATAGTTCATTGTGATAGCTGGTGTTCGATAAATGATTTAATAGTGACGACTGATATAATACAACTACGACAGGCTAAAAATTCCGTTGACAGGAAACTATAAAATTCTTTGGAG